CATTTACAGAGAGCAAAATATATAATGTTCTTATAAGCTGGGACTGAACCATACCGTGCATTTATGGAGAGTTTATAGTGTGTGCATTTAGAGAGGTTGCATTTAGAGAGTCTGACTGTATATATCCCGCACAAAAACTAAATTTGTACCCCAAATCACCAACTACCCATTTTCATAGATCAGTCCAGCCCTGTCGTATTGAAACGTTGTGGTTTTTGATTGGGTGCATTACTTTGTATATGCGATAGAAAGCTGTATAGCATGAGACTGAAGTTAATGTACGTCCTGAATATGTTTTTTATATACAACGTGTGAATGTCCGTTGGTCTTGAAGTTTTGTCTGTTGTTTCGATTCTTTAATTACTTACCCTGTTAATCTCGTTGACTTTATAACCAACCCCACCAGTCGATTATCTTTCAACCAGAAGCTCAAGTCATCAATCCAAACGATTTCGGGCTTACGAATGGCCTTTTCGTCACCCTACCTATCAGGTGAGAATCCAGGAAACTAATTTATTCTGATGAGCGCTCGTGGTATATTCGTATCTTACAATGGTTCTTATGATAAGATTTAAATTGTTTTCTAATAAAGCACTCTTGCTTCATTTACTTCACGATATCAGGTGTTTCTATCATAAAGCCATTGTACGGGGGGTCGATGTGCTACCACTTTGGATATGGTGTGACAAGAGACTATCAGAAAGCGGTACGGAGTACTTGTTGGATATCCTGTGGGGGTCGCTGGGGTTTGCGTTTCCTCCTCCAAATTCGGATGATCAAACTACAATATCTCCTTTTATGATTATATTAACTAATGAGGATTGATATTGTTGAGAAATTGGTTTCTTTTGCTGAAGCCCGATCATCTAATCCAACCCCGAATGTAGTGTTGGATGGAATTAAGGAGAGGGTGGAGAAATATGAACTTAACCATCAACAGCTTCAACAGATAATAATACAATTAAGAACAGAAGCTGATATTAGAATGGAGTCCGTTGAAGCTCGACTCGATGTTCAACAATCGGAAATTGCTGAAACGCGTCTTGAAGTTCAACAATTAAGATAAAAAATTGTTGAACTTTCGCAAAAAACTGTCGAGCTTCAACAAAGAAAATTTTTACTTATTATTTCTATTTTAGTTTTAATTGCTTCTATGTTTTTTTATGTAAATAAAAAATGTTGATAGTCTCATTTTAAGCTTTAGCATTTTTATTTAGTCATTGTTATTTTATTACCATTGTATAATAATATTTATAAAATTAAAAAAGAGTGTACTTAATACTTCGTAGCGAAATTCAACTGCGTGATAAAGGAAAGGCTATAAAGAAATTAATAATAAAAATAAAAACTTAAAAATGAGATAAACGAATACAAGTTGATATACCAACAACAACTATCGACGATAAATCAGTTAAAAGAATGTATCGAAAGAAGATGAATACAAATTAACATGTCAACAAGTTGATAGAAATTATCAAATGCGAATATAAAAGATCCTCGATTATTTATTTACATAAATTATATTGAATGTAAAAAATCTTGAATTAGAAAAATCAAGATATAATAATGCTAAAAAACTTAATATTGAATCAGTTAAATCTTGATCAACAGACAACGATAAAAATAAACTGCTAAGGAATGGATAATTTACGCTTATGAACTTGAAAAAGAATGTCAAGAAACAAAGGGTATTAGATCTACAAATAATCGTAACGAAAGGGAAATTAAAAAATTGAAAATGGAATTGATAGGTTTGGAATATAATAATAAGTTTAATTATAATCTGAATGATACATTTCCGAACAATGATTTGGTGAAAGATATTTATAAATATAAAGATGGTTATTTAGATTTAGATTTAGCTTTGAATGAATTTCACGAGGACATTAATTTATTGTAAACATATAATTATACAGTAATTTATGTATTTCAATATCTTATATATTAATATAACAATAATCTCAATATTAATATCCAAATTTAAATGAATGAATCATTTGCAAATAAATCGATATTGTGAATGACAATTTGGTGAACGAGTTCAATAGAAACGTATCGAGATGCGATAGATGAAGAAAGGGAACGGAAAACAACGGAAAACATCATTCTAAGCAGATTACAAGCACATGTCCATCCGTCGGGAATTTCCTGAAAGAAACAAAAATACCGACCTTAAGGAAAGTGTGCAGTATTAACGCCTTCTCACGTCCGCAGCTTCCCTGTGGAGTTTGTTATATGAGTCGCCTAGTTCGCGAGCCAATGTCCGGTGTGCGTCTCGAAGCGCATTTTCTAATAATATATGTCCTAATCCACCACATCCCCCCACAAACTAGGATTTCTTGCCCAATAGTCTATTTAGAGGAAGATATATAAACTTCCACATGCGTTATAAGATACCAAAATGATTTAATGAGAAGTTACCTGAATAATACAGTTTTTTGCTTCTTTCGGAGGCATTCTTTCACGTGGTTTTCTCTTATATGCGACAATCTCACCAGCACAGTCGTGGCGATACGTACAGTGTGTAACAAAAAAAACCGGATATTTTTTTATGCGACGTAAACGCCTTTCACACGTTTGTTTTCTGCCCAATTTGGGAGATGTAAACTGGAAAATAAACATGATAATCAGAGCTAAATTTGAGCGTTGTTTGCAACTCTAAACCTTAAGAAACTTTCAGATTTAACATACAAGCATAATGTCAACTTCTAAGCAAGAAACGCAACGCCAAACAATATTACAATTGTGGAACAAAGGCATTCATAATGGCCAAGAAATTTATCGCCGCACGAATATTCCACAATTTATGATAATATAAAAAAATTTAAAAAGAACAGAACTGTAGATCATGCAAGAGGTAATGGTGGCCCAAAAAGATTACCGGAAATACCTCAAGAGCGTTGGGACAATTTATACGACGAGATGCTTCAGTTTCAACAAGAATGCTGGCTAACAAAATGTTTTAAATTGGCGTGGAGATATCACCTATGACAATTTCGAGACACTTAGCCATGAATGGATATTCAAAAGCTCTCCAAAAGCGACCCCAATGCTTACTAATGCTCATAAGCAAAAACGGGTAGAGTGGGCACATCGTCACCTTAATGACGATTGGAAGAAGACGCTAT